AAGAGTTGAGCGTAAGCTGAATGTAATTGAAAAGTGATAGAAGTGTAAACAAAGCTTCTAAGAAGCGTAGATTGGACAATGGAACGTAAAAGAAGCATTAAATGCTTCGTAAACGTTTTATGTTTCTTTTACGTTTTGTTATTCCAATCTACGCTCCTTAGAAGCTTTGTTTACACTTCTGTCAATCTTCTTTTACATTTGACTTACACTCAACTCTTTATTTTCGCCAGCAAACTGAGTATGCGTAGTGGTCACGTTTGCATGTTCGATAATCACACACGTATGCTGTGCAGTCAGATGCATACGAAATTTAAACTTAACAATATAAAACAAAGGAACCGGAACAATTATTATTGCAAGGCATAAAATTATACACACCACAAATAAAGTTAATGATTATTTATTCCTAATGGAGGGGCTTCAAAGAAAAAAACACCGAGTTTGATTAAAAAATGTACTAATTTTTCTTAACAATATGTAATATGTATATATTTGTATATAATATATTTAATAATAGTAATATATTTAATAATATTTTTATTATGTATGTTAAAAAATGTTTGCTAAATAGACAAACTTTTATTTTCTATCTTTTGCTGTGTTGAAAGTAGTAAACCGATGTGCAATTATACGCTTTGCGTTGCAAAGTACATGTGTAAGAATCTTCCCTTTCCTTTTTCCCCTCCCCCTCCCCCACGCGGATTTCAATCGCATGTGATTCCAACAAAATGAAGCTCTATTGAATTAAAGATACGAAGAAAATACTGGATGAAACTTTGTCGAACAGATGGATTAGGAGAAATGGAATAATTAGAGTAAGATCTCCCGATCTCACATCACTTGATTTTTTTTATGGGGATTCTTAAAAGAACGTGTTTATGAAACAAAATCTGCGAATGTGGAAAAATTGAAGCAGAGAATAACTGAAGTGAGTCTAACAACTGTTGATATGTTGAGAAATATCAGAAATTCTTTTCAATTAAGGCTAACACATTGTCAAGCAGTGGAAGGAAGACAATTTGAACATATGATATAATTATTATCGACTTTTGCACATAATGCATTTCATAGGGATGAAATGTGTGATTTTTCAGCCATTACGCGGGCAATCTTTCATGCTACCTGTTTCAGTGAAATGTTGAATTCCTATAATTGTTGATTTTGAAATCAGATTTCACATGTATGCACACACATGTGAGAGGCAAAGAGACTCACGTAAATCAAGCAATCCGAATCGGAGACAAAAAGATTTACATTAATCAAGCATCCCAATCATGAGAGACAAGGGGTGCGTTCCTTTATTCATTTCGAGTATTATCAGTACTACGAATAGCATTTCGAGAGAGTAATGCATTATGAAAGAACTGCCTTGAATTCTATAACGTCATTGATTTTGACGTATTTCCTACTGCGGCTACTGCACTCAACGAGGTAAAGCAGTCAGAACACAAAAATGGCTGCTTCCATGGAAACTAAATAACCTTGATTGATGCTGAAGAAATAAGCGTGTAATATGAAATAGTATAATATAATGAAATTATTATGATATTATATAATAATATGAAATTATTTAATTATTATTAATCATTATTATTATTAATATTATTAT